TGGTCCCGGGCCCGTAGGAGGGGCAACGGAGCCCGGGAAGCACGGCGGCGGTGTCCGGCGGGGGGGGTCGGCCCCTTCTGCGGGACAGAAGCGATCTGGCGACAGGTAAGTCGCCAGAATCGCTTCTGTTGTAAAGCCGGCAGTCGGCTTTACAAGTTTAAACAGAGTCCCGGCGGGTCTGTTTAAACAGCCCTGATGCTGGCGACGTGCACTGTACGTCGTCAGTCACGAAGGGGTTAAAGCAAATGTTACCAAAATGAACTAGCATCACACTAATCCAGCACGTTATTAATCCCAGGTGCCCCACTCAATATGGCCGCCGCTTGAGTGGGGCACCCGAGATTAATAACGTGCTGGATTAGCCTGATCCTAGTTCATTTTAATAATTCACTGCTGTGTAGTATGTGTATAGGGCAATGCAGCGGCTGGCGGCTCATGCAGAAGAGCTTTCTCGGCCAAACCTCTACGTTCTAACTAAACCGGAAGTCAGGCAGTTGGAGAACTCGGGGAGTTGGAACTTTTGATAGAACACCGGCTTTGTATTCTTTGCATTCCTTATTTCTCTTTCCCTCTCCATTCTTTTCACAGTGGCCATTTTTACTAAGGGCAGATGAATCCATCTCCCTTTACTTTCTGGAACTCTGGCACATGTGACTAGGACTTGTGACCATGCACATCATCTCATGAGATTACAGATGAGATTTCCCAGCAATGCTCTGCTGATGTAACCTTCGCAGGATGCAACGCTTGGGCACATTACATCATTTGTGCCAAAGTGGACCAGGAAGTGGAAAAAAAAAAAAGAAGAAGTTGTAAGTAAAATAAAAATATGTTTGTTTAGCTAATGAATGTAAGATGATTTCATATCGGCATACAGAGCAGAGTGCTGATGTGATTTTTAGTCAAAAGGGGTAAAGGGCTAATTTAAGCAATACCTTCTATAGGCTAACTTAAATTAATATTTTTGATTGCCTTAGGCCTCATGCACACGGGAGGTATTATGTGCGGCTGAGGATTCTTGCGGCAGGAACCTTGTGGATTCCAGCTGGGTCCATGCAAATGCGGCCACTGTGTCCGTTAAAATTGATTGACAGGCTGATAGCAGCCCCATCTGTACATTGCACATGGAACAATCACCTGCGTTTTGGGACAAATGATTGTCCTTGGAAGCAATCTGTCTGCGTGCACAGGGGGGAATCTACCCCAAACCGCAGATAACTGTTCTGCAGCTAACAACCTTGTGTGCACCTTGGACTGCTTCTTCAGGTTTTTACATTTTGGAAACCCACATATTTATATGCAACGTTACAAGAAAAAGAAGAAATTAAATATAATATTTAAAAAAAAAAAAAAAAATCAGCCAACTAATTGATTATGAAAATAATCATTAGTTGCAGCCCTATACAGCAGACTTCTAAAGCATGCCGTCACATGCACAAAGTGCCGGTGTTATCAAGACACTGACCAAAGTGATGGTAAGAATTACCTCCAGCTGAGATGATGGCGTCTGCCCATCGCACGGTGGCTTCATCATAATCTCTTCTTTTCACTACCTGCACTTCAATTCCTTCCTTCCTGGAGGGGAAAGAAGACACGCATAAGAATCAGCAAATACTAAGTACTACATAGAGTAAAGGTGGTCACAGACTTCACAGGACAGCCAGGGATGCAGGTATGATCCTATGGTAGAAAGAGGTTTATAGTCTGTGTATAGCAAAAAAAAAAATCTTAATCTGGAGCTTTGGATAGAGTATGGAAGGGTCAAAACCCCCTCTAGTTTAATTTTTGCCGTCCCTTTCTATTTTCTCTATCTCTCATACATCTTCCCCCTACTCTCATTTTGTCTCTGCCCTTTTGCTCAGGAATTAACTGTTTCTACCATGTTGTCACTTATCATATATATTTTCATGTGTGGAACATTAAAATGTTTACGTGCCGATGTTTAATACTCTGGTACGATTGTTTAAAGCAATGCGAGATCGCACTGCAAGGTGTTTTGTAACCCATTTTATATCATTCAAAATTGTGTTTCAATGACTAGCAGCTCATATCACTTGTTATGTTTATGGAGTATTAAAAAAAGAGAGAGAGAAAAAAAAAAAATTTTGATAAGTGTCAGCTATGGCTGCTCAAACTTCCAGTGAGATTATAACTTTCATACAGACATTTGGTTTGTAATATTAGCAGGGCCCTCCTCAGCATCTTGTCTTGAATTGTATTGTGATTGTAATGTCTTCCTTATATTGTAAAGTGCTGCGCAAACTGTTGGCGCTATATAAATCCTATATAATAATAATAATAATAATAATAATAATCAAAGACTACTACGGTAGTACATGGAAATGTACTCCCCTCTGCTGTAGATTGTAGAGTCCGAAGCCTCGTACCGGTTTGTACACTGTAACCCTATATGCAGCATTTATTCATGCAATGTATTAGTTCAAGCTAAAATAAACATGCTGTATAGAATTAGAAGGTAAATGGAAAAAGCAAAACTTGTATATAAAAAAGGAATTGTGAGAATCCTGGGTGAAAGCTGCAGGAAACTATTTATATACAGAGCTGGGAAAGGGGGCTGCCAAAGCATTCATAAATATACGCATTGGTTCATGCAGTGCGTCACTCATGTGGCAATCTCTAATATTTGAATCCCATTTCACATTTACCGTAGAATATTATAGACATTTTCTACATGGCCAGGCTGGAGATACTGACACTCACAGGGTTATTCACAAAAGGGTGAAGAGTTTAGAGAAGGCAGGAGAAGTGAACAATCTAGAACATAGCTGAACTGGAAACATTCTCCAATTCAGATCACTTCCCAGTTCAGCGATGTTGTCCTAGATTGTTCACTTCTCCTTCCTTCTCCAAACTCTTCACCCTTTTGTGCTTTTGTGAATAACCCTGTTAGAAGGAGAAGATCCGGAGAGAGTGAAGGCCCTCACACTATATAAACAGCCTGCAAAGACAGGAATGATAAGGATCCCCACTCTAGTCTGACAAAGTAAACCTGTCTAACCTGAAAATCAAATGTCTCATGGCTTAAAGTGAAGCCCTCTTAGGCCTGGTTCACACTAAGCGCATTGTTGCAGCTGAATAAGCGTGACAAAATGCTTTTTAAAAAATCCCATTCATTCTTATGGCCCCTGTTCAAAGCTGAGCGTGTAAGCAAAACGCTTGCCGTGGAAAAAGTGCATGAGCTACTTTTTGTCAGATTACAGTGCATTTTGTCCCCCTAGAGTCAATAGAAAAAATGCGTTTCAATTGTTTGTGTTTTTGCCTGCGTTTTGCCCCATTTACATCAATGTGCCACAATCTGCTCATAAAAATGCGCGAACTAATGTATGTGTGTAAAAATGCACAAAAACATGCAGCAAAAAAGGCGCATTTCCACGCGGTCGCCAAGGTGTGAAGGTCTTAGGCACACATCACCGGCTGGAGGACTGGCTGCCTGACCATAGTTGCCGAGTGCACAGCTGTCAATTCACCCCGGTAACTCCCTGTTCTAAGGGTTCTCTTCCTGATGTCCTGGCGGTTTAAGCAAATCTTTCAAGTTTCTGGAAGGTGATCTGCATCTGCAGGTTGCACTGGCGAGGAGGTGATGTCACCAAAAGGGAAGAAGATGTGGGCAGACAGCTCAGAAATTCGAGGCTCAGTCTCACCTCTCTGCCCATCACAGCAAAGGTGACAAGTGAGGATCAGTGACAGGGGGTTAGCAGGGAGCACTGGTGGTGTATGCAGTGGCTTGGGGGAGGAGCGGCTGCTGGCTGGCAGAAAGGTGCAGTGTCTGCAGTGTTGGAAAGCAAGGGGGTTCAAGGTCAAAGATGCAGGAGGGTGCAGTGTTAGGAGTGCTAGGGGGCATGGAGATGCAACGTCATGGTGCAGAGTGCAGGGGTACTGGGTTATTTAAAGGCCTGAATCCAAAACCATCTACTTGTAAGCCCGCAGGAAGGCAGAGAAGAAATGACATGCGATATGGTCTTAGCTCCAGGACTGTATCACCCGCTGGTCTAAGGTCAGCGCAAGGGGGTTTAGTAGGCATGAGGAATGGGGTTATTCTAATTCTTCAGACCTATGCTTTGCAGTAATGTTGATTGTACTCTGCATTACCTTAACCCACAGTAACACACAGCACTCCGTGCGGTACACACTGCAGTGCCATTAATGGGACCTCCACGCACAAGTACAGTAAGTGGCCATGGACTTGCACTGTAGCACACCCTAACACATGTGCCTTGCATTGTGGTGCGCTGCTTAATAATAATAAAAAAAAGCAATCTTGATGTACTGGTTGCCCCTAATGCAACATGTTAATGCGTAAAATACTGCACATTAACATATATGCAGTAATACACCACAACAGCATAGTACCAAGGGGGAGCTTAATAGTTTGATCAGCAGTGCTATCCATGTGATGTGTTAGGATGATTGATCTGTCTCCTGGTCCCAAAGAAGTCAATGGGGTTCTAAAGCGCATGCAGCAGCACCCGGCATTTAGTGACAGTATACACAGCTCATACACAGTCCAAACCCAGAAACATTTTACTGGTGGAGTTAGAAAAAAAAAAAAACAAGTTGGAAAGCTTACCTTAAACTTTCTACAACATGTTCGACATTTTCTGAATGGATGTTATGTCGCTGTAACAGACCATTGTAACTGGAGCCTTTCAGAGCAAGCTGTAAAACAAAGAGAAGAGGTCACAGCTTTACTGGTGGGGAAAAAAAAATGTTTTCACTTCTTAAAAGTGCATCTTTTAACACCACGACAAATTATGAAGACCTACACTTCAAGGAACACAATTAAAGGGGGTTTGAACGTTCACTTGAAGAGCAGTTTGCTTTATGCCAGTCCTCCCGCATTCCTCCTCACTGTGGCCCTGGTGGCTTCAGAACTTCTGTTGACACAAATGCTATTTGACCTACTAAGAAGCAGCAAATCTTGCAGGGTTTGCTTCAGAAACCAACTTGTCCTGATACTTCCAGGCGATCTTAGGCCTGTACAGCAGTCCTGGAGTTATAGATCTTGAACAGTTGAATCAACAGAGACATCTATAAAATGACAGTATTGAAAAGGTACCTGAAAATATAACGTGATTGACAAGATAAGGAAACCATCCTCAAATCCAACCATTCTACCCCCTGGTCAAGCAGTCTTGGGGGAAATAGTTCGCTCATGTAATATTTTCAGCAGATCACTACTGTCCAACCCCCCCAACCCTGACAAAGTAGATATAGGAGGCATCTGGTTGTGCTCCCCTCACCTGCCTCTAATAGAATAAATGCTCAAGTGACCCAAATCACACAGTTATGCATATTTCCTTGTCAACTTAAAGTGCAGCGGAACCCAAACCATTTTTTTTTAGTTTTGTATAGAGTGGAGAGGGATTAGAACCCAGTCTGTCTGTCTGTGGATTTGACTGCTGCCTGTGTCCCTCTCCATTTGTTCTGGTGACCGCCATCACTAAAAGTGCAGGAAAATCCAAAATTCTGGGTTGCCACCAGAACAGGAATAGATGGGAAATCTTCCAATGGAGACAATTTCCTCTCACTTGGACTGAATATGGATCATCACCTGTTGTTAGATACAAAATTGAATTATGGTGCACAGATCCCAAATCTCTGGGAGCCAACCCCTGGTTAATTGATAATAACACAAGAAAGAGGAGAGAAAAAAATGGGTTTTTTTTCTTGGCTAGCAGAGTGACAAATCCAATAGACTTCACGCCATTAGTAAATATAAAAGTGAAAAAGGTATTTATCAAGACATCAGCGAGCGGGAAATCAGCCTGGAATGTAAACAGTCAGCGATGGCTGTTTACATACAAGCGTTCGGGGGTCTGTAGAGACGCCCGATTGCTTGTAATATGCGTGCGGGTGTGCGGCCCCTCCCCCTCCGTTGCAGCCGCAGGTGAAGCAGGTGTTTGCTTCATCAGCTTCTCTGGGGGTCCCTAGGTGACATTAGGGTTCTTAAAGACCACTGATGTCTCCATAAAGAGGACCTGTCACTGAAAATTGGCTATCACAAAGGGGGCTTGTTAGTCCCCTATGTGATAGCAATAAAGTTCAGTGGAAAAAAAAAAAAAAGGTTTAAAAAAAATTACAAAAAAAAATTAAAAAAGTCACATATAACAAGGTAATTACATTTTTTTTTTTAAGTCCCCCGTCCCCCCACCCCACATGCAAACATGTGCCGAGTGCGCCTACGTGCGGAAACGATGTTTGCATCCATTACACCGCACATGTTACATATCGCCGCGAACGTCGCAGTGAGCAATAATTCTGGGCCCATCAATCACTGATAACACTAAACTGATGAGCGGTAAAAGCTTTTAAAGCGTCGCCTATGGGCAATTTTGGGTATGGTCGTTTTTGCGAGTTCGCGGGCGCACGCAATTTTAAAGCTTGACATGTTTGGTGTCTTTTTACCCGACGTGACCCTGACTTTTATATTTTACCAAAAAATTTGGGTAAGAATAAATGTTTTAGAACATAACATAGGAACAACAGTTTTCTTTTTTCGAAATTTCCGGTACTTTTTTCATTATATAGTAAAAAAAATTATTTCAGTACAGCGTTGCATGATGGAATAAATGTCAAAGTACAGCAGCGCTGAATACAGAAAAATGGCCGGGACAGGAAGGGGGTGTAAACACCCCGGTCAGGAAATGGTTAAAAAATATTTAACCAAACTTTTTATAGAAAAGCTTTGTAATTTTTAGGGAATGTCCCATTGACTCTCTGGTTACAAAGAGCTCAAAAATCTCACTTTAAAAGACGGTCGATTAAGACAGATAGACCAGTTACACAGGTAAGGTGCCAAGCTTGTAATAACAGCTGGCTGACCCTACTGGCTTCTTCCCTCACGCAGCACTGACCTATGCGGGGTGTTCTATGGGGGAAACGTAACCTTTAACATCAGTACTTATATCAGAAGTTTACAGTCTAATTTTGCAAAACAAAAAAGGACAGTCCATCTCTGTGTACTCAGGAGACCGCAAACCCTGGCAGCGCTGCAAGGCCACAGTGCTGGGCACTAAAACCACAGTCCAAAAACCTTTAACGCTTGTATAACTGGGCCAGTACTGAAGAAAGAAAATAGAGGTCTGGATAATCTCTGGATTAGTAGCAGCCAGCCACAGATAATTCAGCGACAGAACCGTGTACAGGGAAATGTGTAACCCTAGTCTCGTTTTATTACATATACAGACTGCAGACCAGCAAATCCCCACGAATGGCAGGTCACACACAGATGACAAGGACATAAGCCCTGATAAGTCTGGGTCACCAATGAGCTTCCACAGGATTAGCACTTGTTTCCAGTGAACATGATGAACAGAGCCAGGATAACGGAGAAGGTCAATGCCTTATAAAAGAAATGAAATTATTCGGGTGTCTATTTATAAATGCTTTCACACCAAACTCACAACTTTCACCCAGAATTTACACATTTGACCAATTGGAAAAATATGTGAATATTAGGTAGAAAAAAACCCGACCCCTTACAGAATCAGGAAACAAAAAATGGATGACACGTCCATCGAAAACAAATCTGTCATGAAAAAACTCCCTTCATCCTCGAAGCCTGAAAACAGCAGATGATCCCGAGGAAGGAGAGACGCACTCGCCTCCCTCTGAAGTGGTCAAACCTGCCGTAACGGAGAGAAAGCCCTTCCCGATCCCCAAAGCTTTCAGATAACCCCTTAGATTAACTTCTACAATGTTATGTCTCTGATTCACAGATGTTTATTTTGGGATTGTAGAAATCCATCTAAACCTCTTTTCTGTGAAATCTATTGAGTCTGATAGGAAGAGTTTGAAGGGAAAATGATGTTAATGGCGCTGGGAAAACAGCCTGCAAACTCACGCACTGTTCAAAAAATGGTTCAAGTGGGACCCCAGATAACATGTATTAGACCGAGGAAATGTGAGAACCTCCATGGACGCACACAGCCACTGCGGGAACGAGCGGGCATGGGTGCCTCCACTAGAACGATGGTGGCACCCGTGCAGGGGGTGGGGGGGGGAAAGCGCTGCAGGGAGCCACTAGAAAACAAGGAATTAGAAACTTTTAAAGGAGAAATGTAAAAAAAAAATAGGCTTTAATATCACTTTAAGGAGCATTGTCTACCTGGCTCCTGGGATCTGTCCAGCTCTGTCCTAACCAAAGATCAAGAAGGAGATTTCCTCGTTCCCATTGTCCCAGCGATAGCTGTCATTCAGGCAGGAAATAAAAAACAATACACCCCAGAGAGTGAAGAAAAAAAAAAAGGTTTTGGATGGAGTCTTAAAAGTGCCACCTGACTTGTTGCGGAATCAAACCTTACAAAAGCATATTTTCATTCAACATGCTTACCTACTGTTCTGTGCATATCCGCTGATCCCCCTATTACGTGATTAGCAATGGGCTAAGTAGCATCTCTATCACCAAGTCCTGTCTCCCATGGTCTAACATTATCACACGATAGCCTAACAATATCTGTGTCCTGAGATAATAGTGGCCTGAGACCAGCACGCATCCAATAGCAATCGGAAATGTCGGATGAATAACTGGCAGAACAGAAACGCGTAAACCTGCATATTATGCAAATATACAGCTTCGTTAACTCTAGCCAAGAACAGAGGCCGCAAAATGTCAAACAGTCCGCACACATGACCCAGCACGGAGGACAGGAGCCAAGGACTATAATCCACATTGTGCTGATGACAGTCACATGGGCATACTTCTAATATCTAGAAAGAGAAAATAGGGCAGTTGCATTCAGAAAGGCACTGCTATAATCCCCGACTCTACCTCTGCCATGGAGCATCACTTCTCATGACGCTTAACGTAACAAGTGAAGAATACAACAAAGGAGATGAGACCCCCTTATGATGGCTATCACATGGTGATGTGAACTCTGGCATAAGAACTCAATGGGTGATACAACCTGGTGTTATCAATCTGAAACGTGAGCAAATTTCCCCCTGAGAAAAAGGATGCAGCTCCGAATGGGAGAGAAAATGAAAACATCCGCGGCTTATAAAAAACAGAAACTAGTTGAGCTACTGCCCTTGACATCAAGACATTTGTTTTTTTGGCAAATGTATGCCCCTTTCATTGAATAGTAACAAAGTATATTTAAGGCCAAAACGATTTTTTTTTAGTATTAAGCGGCTGAGGACCTTGCAGTGAGCAGAGTTTCCGGCATGGACATCATTTCTGGTATGGGTCACCTGCCACTGAAACAATATAAAAGTGTTGGCTACAGTGTGGAAACCCTGATCAGATTTTAATGCTCACTTTGGAGATGGTCCACTTGATTCCTGTTGTGTCTATCTTAAAGGAGAATTATGAGGTGAGTGATTTTCGGGAGGTGAGCGAACACATAACGGTGCTTGCTCACTTCTCGATCCTGTGATGGCAGAGAGCCGTGACAGGGGAGGGGCTGGATTCACCCCCCACTGTCCGATTCTCCAGCGCTGACTGGCGGAACGGACTGGGGAGGGTACAGCTGGATCTGCCTCTAGATGGGCAGAGCCAGCTGTCATTCACGCAGCTGGGTGGATCCAGACAGAATTGTCGGGATCCGTTCCGGCGCCTCAGTATACCGCGAGCTGTAGCTCGCGGTATACTGAGCTTTGGGTGACGGGAGGACGCTAGTTTGTGTCCTCCCGTTATTCTTAGGCCCCGTTCACATTGAGCGATTTACCACGCGATATCGCTCTCCAATTCTTCTCAATGGGGCAAAGGGTCCTGCTGTCGCGGGTCATGTGTCGTTACAGCAGGACCCTTTTTGGAGTGGATTTAGCCGTGATTCAAGCTTGCTCAATGCAAACATGCGCGACAAGCGCGCGGTTTGCGAACCTGTCATTTTCAGGCCTAAAATGTGGAATATAACATGGGTGCAAAAATTGAAAAAAGGGCCTCAGTCATGAAGGGGTTAAACCTGATTAGTCTCTCATGGCACTCATATAAGAGGGACTTGCAACAAAAATATGGAAAGGAAAACAAGAGAGCCTTTATAGTGTACCAGTAAGGTTGTGAAAATAGATTCAATTGTTATGTGGGGCAAAAGTGAGTAGAACAGAAAATATCTACCCACATCTGGTAAAGGGGAGGAAGATCACAGATATTGTCCAACCTACTGTAAGTGATACACCTGTGGAGAGTACACTTGTCTCCATGAAGAGATGACGAAATGGTGGTCACACTGAAATGCTCTGGCCCAGGTCAACTCTAGTTCAGCTTAAGGGAATTTTGAAGTGGTAGGGAAAAAACAAACAAAGGGATGGACGTCTCCCTTTTTGTCCACCCTTGTTTTAGTTATAGATAGAGCTTGGTGAGCCAATTCAGACCGTGGCTTCTTACAAATCTTGGAAATATTGGCTTAGAGATCGCCATACCATAATTCCCCACACTTTTCCTCTTCAGCTGGGAGTTGTGTGTTCCCACAACATCTGTTACAATCTACAGTATATAAAATAAGATAAACAGAGGCCAACAGGGGGAGTAAGGACTAATGATGTCATCAATTCCACAGCGGATGTGAAGAACCAGGAACCCAAATGTACAATGCACCAGAGTCATTGTCCTGTGGCTTAAATCTCCAGAATCTACCCAACAAGGGAAACACTGCTGGGTATAAAATGCAGGCCTAATGAGTCTACAAATGCAGCTATACAAAGGACAGGAAGAGTATATATGTTTGCACAATATAAACAAGAGTGCAACAATCTCAGTAGAGCGCACAGACATAAGATGGGTTGGAAAGTTAATTAGCGATTAATGAAAGCAAATGTCAAACAAGTAGGAGATTTCAGTGGTGAGAGATGCCAAAGGACACTAAAAATGACGAGCAGGTTTATACAAGTAGGCAGCGAGGTTGTTGAATGCACAGCCAACGTATTGTCCAGTCATTTCATTGCTGTAAACTACCAACTGTTATTCTATATCGGTCTCCGGCACACTGAACTTACATGAATGTTAATGATCTCCATCACTGTACATGCGTGAGGACTGTTACATACACAGAACTGAATATTACCAGCTCAGAGAATGACAGAAATTTTAAATTATAGTCCTTTAACATTTCCAGTATTTTTAGAAAGCCTCAAAAAGTGTAATTAATGTACAGTGGCTGCAAAAGTATTCACCCCTCATTGGCATTTTTCCTATTTTGTTGCATTACCACCTGGAATTAAAATTGATTTTTATTTGGATTACATGTAATGGACATACACAAAAATAGTCCAAAATGGTGGTGAAGAAAATAACATGTTTAAAAAAAAAAAAAACGAACAGTGGTGGTGCATCAGTGCGTCACAAGGGGGGTGCAGTCATTTTGGTGTCACCCCCTATGAAAAGTCGGGCACTCTGTCACGGAGTCAGCCAGTCTCCGCCCCCGGGTGACACCCAGCCTCGGGACGCCACTGGCATGCATATGTATTCACCCCCTTTGCTAAGAAGCCCCTACATAAGATCTGGTGCAACCAATCACCTTTAGGGTGACGGGAGGACGCTAGTTTGTGTTCTCCTGTGACCCTTAGGAGAACTATGGGGAAAAACACTGACCCCATAGTTCTCCTTTAAGTGCATTTTTCACAGCATTTTTAGGTTTGAAAATAAGTTGCGCTGTCGTGCAACATACAAATTTGCAACTGGCACAATTTTATTCTACGGGGTCTTGGCTTTCAGAAAATATATAATGTTTGGGGGTTTGAAGTCATTTTCAGGGCAAAAATGTGGATTATAACATGGGTGCAAAAAATGAAAGCCTTTGTTCTTAAGGGATTAAACAAACAGCAAATATGGCAAAATGGCTCCGGTCCCCAAGAACAGAAACATTTTCTGAAGTTGTGTCACTAAGGGGTTAAAGCCTTCAAGGCATTTTTTTGGGGGGGGTTTCTGTGTCCCTGCTGGGGACATACACCCCTCTATTTGTCCTGGTGACCAATGTCGCCAAGATAAAGTGAAAGGAAATCCAGAAGTTCACAAGAAGTGAAGTAAAAGTAGAACTTTTTTTGCCCCGTGTCCCATTAGGGAGATTTCCATTCACTTCCTGTCTGATAGCCACAACAGGAAATAAAGAGGAAATCCCCCCAAAGTGATTGAAATCCCTGGTGGTCAGCAGGGTCACCGTAACTAGCATCCCCATTTCCATCTATTTCTGTTTTGTTGACAACCCAAAATGTGCGTTTTGTTTTTTAACTTTCACTTGCAATGATAATAAATCACCAGAACAAATAGAAAGGATGAAAAATTGATTGAGATGCACGAAGAATAAGAGATTTCCTCCCGTTTACTGCTGGGTCTCCAGGACAGGAAGTGACGGTAAAACTCCCCAATGGAACCCAGACAGCAAAAACATTTTTTATATATTTATACACATTATATACCTCGACCTGAACTGGAGGTTCATAGTATATATCTCATGGTGATAACTGTCTCAGTGTCTGTGACGTCAGCCCCCCAGGCACTGAATGTGGCGGACACTCCGCGGGCGGAGGGACCCCCCGGGGACTCGGAAGTAGAAGCCAATGCTGCCCTGAACTCACCAGCTCTTTCAGATCCTCCTCGGACAGGCCCGCATAACGGAATCGCTGCAGCTCGAACTCGTAGCGAGTGGTTTTAGTCACCACGGCCACCCTCTGCGGGCGGAACTCCCCGGGCTCGCCGGCTCCATGGGAAGGACGGTTGGACACGCGCCTCAAGGTGAGGGAGCGCACAGTGAGGGCCCGGGGCCCCAGGCTCCCCGAACAACCCGAGCACCATGTGCACAGCAGCGCTCGGCACCAGCTCATGACCAGAGTGGCTCCCGGGGTGTCACCGAAAAAAAACGAACACCTGTCTACACAAGCGCAAGCCACACTTCCGGCCTGCGCACGTCACTGCTCCTGACAGAAGGGCGGAGCCACCGCGGACACAGAGACCCCATTCGCTGCGACTGTGGAGGTTGGGCTGAAGGAGGTGGCGAAGCCCCGCCCCCACTGTTTAGAATGCTCTTAGCCTCAGGGCAGCGGCCATCTTGCCAGAGACCCTTCCCACACCTCAGGGCTCCGACAAAATGGCGCCATAGAGTGAGACACTTATGAGGAGCTGACAAAATCCCAGCAAAGCAAAGTATAGTGAAAAAAGTAAACAATAACTATAAATCTGTACTGCTAATTCCACGGCTTGTATATTTTTCCAGCACATTAACCCCTTCACTTCTCTATCATAGTTGCCAACATTTGAAAAAAATTTCCAGGGATGCTGAAGGGGATTTATGAAAACTGGAGCAGACAGAATCTGGAGCAGTTGCCTATGGCAACCAATCAACTTCCATCTTTCATTTACCAAGCCTAAATTAACAAACTGAAGAGAGAACTGATTGGTTAACATGGGTAACTGCTATAGATTCTATCTGCTCCAGTTTTGATAAATCCTAACCCCACCCCCCAATATATACATTATCTGCTGCCCGGCTTCCTTATTATCACCAGGTAGCATAGAGCTAGCTTCCCAGCCAATCAGAAAGCCAGGGGGTTGGTAATGACTCGCCCCCGGTTTACTGACGGTTTCCCAACAGGTTCCCGACCAAGTGACGAGGGAGCATGGAGCCGGTTTCCCAACAGGTTCCCGACCAAGTGACGAGGGAGCATGGAGCCGGTTTCCCAACAGGTTCCCGACCAAGTGACGAGGGAGCATGGAGACGGTTTCCCGACAGCTTTCCGACCAAGTGACGAGGGAGCATGGAGCCGACTTCCCGGCCAATCAGGAAGCCGGGCGGCGAGTCATTACCCGCCCCCAGCTTCCTGATTGGCCAGAAAGCCAACTCCATGCTTGGAGCATGGAGTTGGCTTCCCGGCCGTTCAGGAAGCCGGGTGGCAAGTCATTACATGCTTTCTTAATGGGTTCTCCCGTTTCGGTATAGGCGAGTACCGGAAAAAAAAATACCGGACTCATACTGGATACTGAAGAATCGGTATCGGTGCATCCCTATTGAAAAATGTCCTGGACAGGAAGGGAGGTTAACACCCTGGTCTTCAAGTGGTTAAACCCCAGCTAACACCACAAGGGTGCCGGATGCCTATTTCTTTCATTGTACCTATAGAGTGAACATAAAAGTGCAGACCTGGATAAGAAGTGCGCCAGGATCTGCTGTCAGAGGATATTTGCTTCTTTTTATCTCTTATGAAACAAATGTGTACTTTCAGTCCGGTGGTTTCAGCAACTGGCAGAGCCAACACATGTTGCAATAGCTCTTCCCTTTCTGTGTGGGATTTGCGGTCTCCTCCCTAGTGAGCAGAGAGAAAAACATCTCAATTCCATTTCCGCATATAATGAAAACACCAAAGAATAGAAAATTCGGGTGTTGTTTTTGTACAAAGAACCGTTGAGATTATTAAATATAACCAGTAAAAACTAGTATAGCACCCTGTAGGCAGTGAGTGCTATTAAAGTTAGTGTTATCAGATTGCATGCAGTCTGATGCTGATTTGTAGTCCATTTGTGATCATTTGGTTTCCTCTAATCAATCTGTCATCGTTTGCATCTGACCCAGCCAATCACTGTTAAGGTGGCCATACACTCTACAACCATCGCAAGACTTTAGTCTTGCGATGGTTGTAAAGGGATTAAAAAAACGTACGATCTGTTTCTATTTTATTTATTTATTTTATTAAATGTAATTTTTTACTTTACTTTTAGGGGCTTCGGGGAAATATTGGGGATCTAAACAGACCCCTATTTCCCTTTTAAAATAGAAAGAGATTGAGAACACCTCAGAGTCCTCAATGTCTTTTTCTGCAGCCCCTGTTATCAATGAACAGGAATCCTCTATACTGAGTGTTCCTGATTATTCATAACATGAGGACAGAGTATATTTACTATATCCACAATCATGAATGAACAGGAAGTGATGTAGCTGTTATGTCCTCAATTATGTGCAAACACTCAGCGATCACTGATCCCTGACTGCTTGTACCCGCTCTCCATCCTGACACGCTGTCACAGGAGGCTGAGCGAGCGGTGCGGGGAGGAGAGCTCGATCTGACAGCTGACTCCCCCCGCACCGCCAGCTGTCTCTGCCCCCACACACCGCTCTCCTCTGATCTGTGACAGGAGGCTGAGCGGTGCGGGGAGGAGAGACGCCGGCCGCTCACAACGCTCGGCTGCCTTTGACAGTTTCTCTCCTCCCCGCTGGGACACAGAGCAGCGACCAGTGGGGAGGAGGTGGGGATACACCGCTATATTGTAAGAAAAATGGCAGTTTAGGCATTTTGCCAAAAGTGCCATTTTTGGCCGATATATCGGCGAATCCCTAATTCATTTTAATGTTTTTTTCCTAAAAATATCGATTTGATAAACATTTATTTATAAACCCCAGCCCCAGGTCCTTCTGTTATGGGGCTGGAGGACGTAATCAACTACAAGCATAGTGTCATCATCACACTTGTGCTGCATTAAAAATCTACTGCCATGGCAGATGGGACTTGTAGTCTTTTTCATTCACAGATCCTGTGACTGGATCCTTGAAGGAATGACATGGCTGTGCACGGGGAGTAAATGTATACAGAAGTCTGCAGAGAGAGGAACCCCATGTAATGGGGAAAGGGTGGGGGGCAGTTTGACAGTGGGTGGCCGGGGAAGGTGTCCATGTTTTCATGTTACACACGTGTTTAGGGTGGAACATGAAATATGATCAGAAAAAGGTACACATAGGCTTTACGCTCACCTTACACATTACAATCTGACCATTGCAATCTGCGCAATCAACTTTGGATTTACCAAAGCTATGTAATATAAAAGGACCTACCTAAGCTATACAATCAATAGCCAATCAGACGGCCCGTACTACAGAGAACATGGCAGATCTAAACGGAGATTATACAGTCAGATTGCAACATGTATAGTAAGCTTTAGAGCAGGGGTAGGCAACTCCAGCCCTCCAGCTGTTGTGGAACTATAAGACACGTAAGGCATTGCTAGACCGACAGTTACAGGCATGATTGCCTGAGCCAGGTTGGGATTTGTAGTTAAAGCACGGTTAGAGGGCCAAAGTTGCTTTAGAGTGTAACAAACAAAAAAAAAACCCCAAAAAAGATACTCTTCATCTGCTTGTGTCCATCTACCTTTACAGGGCAAATTGAGCTGCAGTTGAATGGGGCCCCCAAAAATTATTGTTGCACAGGGGCCCTTTGGCGATTATGTCTGCTACTGAAGACAGCCGTCACTGAAGACAACTGTCACTGAATTGTTGCTATGAAAATCACTCGTCCAGGTCAAGTGGCCCATTGCTCATTAATCATTGAGCAGCACTTGGATGGGGGACCCAAAAATTGTTCTTGCACAGGGGCCCTTTGGCGACTATGTCTGCCACTGAAGACAACAGTCACTGAAGACAACTGTCAATAAACTTGTTGCCATGAAAAACACACCCGTCCAGGTCAAGCGGCTCATTGCTCAGTAATCCACCTTTGCAAATCCTTCCAATTATTAGTAATCCGCCTTCGCAAATCCTTCCAAGAGAACGAAGAAGGGAGCCCGCGTCGCATCATCAGAAATGAAAACTTTCAAATGACATGTAAACAGAATAAGTGTTTATAAACGTGCCAAGCAAACCCTGTCAAATAGATCTTCTAAATTTGAATATATATTACACTACCATAAAACAACCTTTAATAAAATATAAATATATAGATATGTATATATATGTATATATAGACTGAAAATTTTAAATACACAATAGATTACATGCATTTTACAAATTAGCAGAAAAAAAGTTGCCCCGAAAGTCTCAGCCACCGTGACCAGAACATGATTGAACATTGTAAAGGCATACAACGTCTTACAATAAGAATATGGCAATGCATATACAAAGTAAGCTTGATCATTGCCATCAATATGATGCACAATACTTTTTGACCAAGTAATACCCTTTTTCTTTTTTTTGGAGGGGGATTTACACCCATACACACTTTGACTTGCTGCTATGATGCATGATCAAGGAGCTCCAAATGAATGAAGATTAAATAGCAAGGGAGGGGGGGAGGGGGATAAGAGGATACTGGGAATGTTTGTCTCAAGATCCTTTGGCTATATATTAAGGTGCACTCAGTTATCATTCTTGAGGTATACATATATACGTTAAAGTGTCCCAATAATTTATCTCGTCAAATTAGTCTTTAGTCGATACTGAATTCCCAGTATACAAGTCTATCTGTCTGCGATTTCAGCAGTCCTTGTACGTGTAGTACTGTTCAATAGATCGTGATTTTCCCGACAGAATTCTCTTTCGCTCTCAGATTCCAGTTTGATGTTGGCGTTCTTGCCGATGATGTTGTACTACGACGCGCGACTCTGAGAGGTTGGAACGGAAAGCAAATGTCAGGAGTACAGGACGGGCCGCTGACGGATCAACTGGAGATGATCTGCAAAGGAAGGATGGCTTTAAAATGACACAATACCAATATAAAACCCAAAGCAAAGCATAGATGACGGGAAGACAAGAGACCAAGTGATCCACTCAGCCTGCCTAACATTTGTCAGATGATAGACCTATGTTTACTCCAAGCACATTTGAATTCACCTCGAGGCCACTTTACAACAGAGAACAGAGAGCAGATATTGCCATATGTTAAACACCAAATATTAGTCCATGCCACGCACTGAAAGTTACGGCACATTCATAAACTGTAGACATGCTGTGGAGCCTGCAGGCTGACATTAAATTCTCTCAATGACCAAATCATCCACGGAGTCTGTCTATTTAACAATTCTGTCTGTGGGTAAGACCTACATTTATACAAGCACGTTTACATTCACCTAGGGGCAAATTTATATTGGAGAGAGGATATTGTCATATGCTCTGTGCTAAATGCCATATTAGTCCATACTACGGACTGCAATTTTCATCCCATTTATAAAATGTAGGCCGTGCTGCGGAGCCTGCAGGCTGACATTAAGTTCTCTGAATGACCAAATGATCCACGAAGTCTGCGTTTTTAAATATTCTGTCTGTTTCTGACCTACATTTATACATATTTATACATATACATTAGGCATTTTTAAATTCACCTAGGGGCAGATTTATAACAGTGTGGATATCATCGTATGCCCTTTGCTAAACACCATTTATAAAATGTAGGCTGTGCTGTGGAGCTTGAGGGTTGACATGGAGTCCTCTCTTCAGAAAACAAAAACAAGGGGCGCCTTCCCTAGTGTAGATACATTTTTATTATACAAATGGCAAAAAGTGGAATGATACTCACAAAAGAGTAGATAACATTGAGTCTTCAAATCAAAGGTCGACCCTCGGTCTTAGGTTTTGAAGGGGGCGTGGCCCCGGGAACGCGTTAACCCAGGCATACTGTGCTGTCACATAGGAAGCACCATTTGTGCGGCTCTCTCATGCTGTATCTTGCTTTTTCCCAAGACTGAGGATCAACCTTTGATTTGGAGGCTCAATGTTATCTACTCTTTTGTGAGTATCATTCCACTTTTTGCCATTTGTATAATAAAAATGTATCTACACTAGGGAAGGTGCCCCTTGTTTTTGTTTTCTCATCAGATATTACAGTCTCCCTGACTGATGTGGGGCAGCGACCTGCATATATATTTCTTCAGTGGAGTGGTCATCTCTGGCGCTATTGGTTATTATATACTTCATACTTGAAGGAGAGGCAGCCACCTGACTGACAGGCCATATATGCCTTCAGTCCTTTAGACCTCTCAACCTGTAAACCCTTCAATCTTTTGATAGCCCACTCACATACATTGTAATAGCACTAAGCACATTTATAAAGCAAATTGCCGCGCTTTATAGATGTGCCATTTTTATAGGCAGCTGTATGGATATAGTAAGGCCATACTTCTGCTTATACAACCTTCTTGGTGGTATTCCCGAGTGTGGCTCGGGGTTAATTTTCTGTAACATAAGATGTAACCGCGAGCCACACTCGGAAATACACAGCGCGTCTCTTACCATGTCCCTTGAGCCGCACTGTGTCTTCCGGCCGATGCCGGCATCCGTTTTCCGGGTTCCATCCCTTGCGAGCGTTCGCGTCGCAGGGGGGCGGAACCGGCAGGAGAGTCCCCTTACTCACTACCTCTGCTGGTAGTACTGGATATTAAATAAAATACAATCTGATTATACAATCTCCTTTAGAATCACCAACCAATGTGTAATGTGGAGGCCACTACACCTACACAAACAGTCCACTCAACATATTACCCCCCTGCTAGGTAGCTGTTGGGAAATTTGAAGGAGAATTGTGCATTCAGATTGTAACATGGCGATCTTAAGCACAAGGCTTTGGTGACAGTTCATCAAGTTAGCACATCTCATGCGCATCATACCAGACATCTTGCTAGGGTAGAGCATCATTTCATCATCCTCCTCGTCCTCAGAGTCACTATTGAGAAGCTGGGGATGTAAGCAGTTCTCTTCCTCGGTGTTGGGTGTTTTCTGCTCCTGCTGGGCCCGGAAGTTTTTCATTGCGACGAGCCGATGATGGATTGCAGCATAAAGGCGTCCGGCATCTTTCACACTTGCCTGAAAAACAGAGAGTCAAGAAAAACCGATGAGTGACTGTGTTGCTAGACAATCAGGGTTAATGTGTAAATTCATGCCTTGGTTGGCTAGTGGGCAGGATTGAGGGCTATTGCCAGGAAAATCAACATTGTGCGGCCAAAATGACTTTAGGATTACAATGTAACTTTAGTACTTGTTCCCTGGCCCAGAACAAAGATTTCTTATTAGCAAGTCAGATTAAAGTCTGAACCCCAACTTTAAATAGTTGTACCAGATCACTGCCTCAGAAAAGTATTGGTTTAGAATGTGAACGGATGTCTAAGGAGGTGTTGGAGCTTTGAAGTCAATAAATACACATCCATTAAACTCAGCCAATATTAAAAAGTCTGCATCCAAAAGAACCCTAAACCAAAGAGTTGATCTGGCGGAAGGCAATCAACTCTTATAAAGCATGATCCAATTTGCTTCACCAGGGAAAGAATCCCTTCCTGATCCCTTAAAGTGACATTAAAGGCAAAAATGTTTTTTCGATTGCTAGCAGTAGATAGATGCAAAAATATGCGAGGGGTTAATATTCCTTTAAAGCGGACCTTTATCTATAGCTTTAAAATAACAACAAAGATACCTTTAGAAATGTTTAGTGATGACAATCTACACACATACGTCTAGATAATTGCCGGCTTTGTATTCTTTGCACACCTTCTCTTTTCTTCCCCAGTCTTCTGACAGTGGCCATGTTTACTAAGGGAAGATTACTAGCTCTCCTATTACTTCCTGGATTACTGGCACATGTGACTAGACATGTGACCATGCACATCATCTCAGGGGAGAAAAATGCCTTTCCCTGACATCTCATGAGAATACAGATGAGATTTCCCAGCAATTTTCTGCTGATGACAAGGCAATCCCAGTGTGCAATGCTTTGGCAAACTGAAGTCATTTTGCACTTACACTTGCAGAGCGTTCACTTCCTGCTTTGAAAGTATTTCACAATCACAGCATTTTACAACTGACATGTTATTATTAATCATCATACATAGAGGGATGCATCAGTAGAATCTGATTTTTGAGTGTAAGAGTCCACTTTAAGGCCAATCTTTGGATCAAAGATTGGCCTTAATAAAGGCTTTGTCAGACATATGGTTACAGTGTCTGCCTGGAGCTGGAACCTGTGGTAGGTTGGTGCCAAATGTAGACATCCAACTCATGGTAGACACTTGATCATACTCCTAAAGCAGAAAAGGCCCTGAATTAAATGCCTTCATAGCTAAAAGATTCAGACTGCGGATTCACTACACTCCTCACTAATCCCCACAACTGGAATTACCATGATAGCCAGGTGACTAGAATTTTTAGGAGACGTCAGCAATGGCAGCCCTCATATTGTCTCAGCACAGTTCTCCTGCCACAGAACAGTGAAGTGTCAGCTTTGGGTGAACGGACCCTTTCAAGTGGAAAGTTAAAACATTTTTCTGGGAAGGAAGATCCTCTGGAAGGAAGATGCCTTTCTTGGAGATACCCGCTATGCCTTTGTTGTGTGACATGCTTTACATCAAATATAGTAACTTGTGCTTCATATTCTTGTATTTGGCGTATAGAGGAGCTCTCACCTGGACAAGGAATATTTTGATGCTGTTGTCACGGAGGTCAGTGGCCATGATTTGCAGACTCCTTCTGCCCGCCCTCTCCAGCTTCATCTCATGAAAGATTTTACTGTTCAGGATCAGCTTTAGATTGCCATGATTTCTCATCACTGAAATAAAACAACATACATGGCTCTGCTTAGTCTTCAAGTCTTCAGAGTTTGGTGCTTGTGACATTTAATATGTAAATTGAACCTGCTACCTATACTTCAAAATAGAACTCCAGCCAGAAGTGGTTTTTAGAAGCTCTGTTGGGTTTCTACTCTGAATAATTTCTGTTTCTGTAAAGACATATCTCCAATAGACATGAATGTCCCATCACACTCCTGATCCACATACAACCCTGTATGTGTGATGAGATGACAGCGAATTGGCCTCATACAACAGAAGAAAGGGGAGAAGTGACCAACACACCAGTGTCCACTTTATTAATGCAGGGTAGGGAAAGGTTACATCCTCCATGTCAGCTTTTCTGTTAGAGGAATGCAAAAGCCAGCACACATGGCTTCTCCGAAATTCTCTTTATTAGAATTCCATCTTGCATCAAAGTAACAATAAAGCGTTTCAGCCTACACAGCCTAATTTATACCCGTCTCATTCTGATGGTGAAACTAGAAAATGTATTACAAAAAAAAATTAAATTAAAAAAAGCAATGCCAAAACTGTTGGTTTTAATCTTGCGCTACTGCTACAAGGGTTTTTTTGTTTTTCTTTAAATTATCTGGGTGACAGGGTCTCTTTAAACGAAGCAGAGACAGCATATTCAACATAGGGAAAGGAGGAGAAGATCTGTAAAGGGCTAAAATTCTACAATATGATTCTGCAACGTGTAAGTTGGGATTGTAAAAATAGGATTTAAAGTAAATCTCTCAATAAAACTTTTTTTTCGTTTTTAGTTTAGGATAAAGTGGTGAAAGGTTAGATTTTTTTTGTCAAGTTTTTATTGATGACTGCATTAAAATTGGGGAGATTTACATTTATCTTCCAATGGTGACAATTGTTACCAGGGACAGCTGCCTCAGAGAGGAATTCCCCGCAGATTTTCTCTAGCTTCCTGTTGTATCTCTAGTACACTGATAGAAAAATAAACTGACAGGTTTTAATCCTCCCTTAGGGCCTGTTCACACCACTTCCAGTGCATTCCAGCACGTTTAGCTGCTGGAACACAGTGGATCGCATTTGATGGCATATCAATGACTGCGTTCTGGTCCAGTGCAGTCGCAAAAAACAGTACAAACACTATTTTTCCAATTGCATTGGACCAGAATGCAGACATTGATGTGCCACACGTTCTGGTGCAGGCAATCGCACTGCAGGCGGGGGGGACAACCCATGGCTGCGGTGCCATTTACTGCACCGTTATGCCCCCTCCAATGCCAGAACACAGGGAGGATATTCTAATGCGCTCCAACAGCTAACTGTGCCGGAACGCACTGGAAGTGGTGTGAACAGGCCGTTACTCTCTCTACAAAAAAAAATATTGGCCACACACACTTGTGCTCCAATTTAGAAATCTTCCACCCAGAAGAATTTCCTATTCTCTTCAGTGCCGCCTAGTGGCAGTAATAGTGAGTGCATGGCATTCGCCAAGCTATACACTGGCTGGAAGATTTATCAATCAGCCCCTATAATCTATAAAACTTGGGGAACCCAGGCCCAATCTTTAATACAGGGCCAGCTTTATGGCTTGCAAACCTTTTTCTTTTTTTACTTCTCGTCTTTGGGACATGTTTTAGAGAAGGCAAATTTGTCAACACAGCATTTGATTAGGAATCGCCTACATGCTGCGCCTTGCATTGTACAGAAAAATGCATGAAACAGAACGGACCATTGACGCTGATAACAAGCTGTGCCGGACACCACTAACCAGCCAACTAAAGCAAGTAGTCATTTTCTCCCAATTAATGTGCTCTAGAAGGACGCCAGGTGCTGGGAGGGGAAATATGGAATGTGCAAACAATTGATAAGAGATCAAGGAAGGAGAAGATGGAGATATTGACCCAGGAACATGTGAGGCTGAGGAGCATGGTATCCGCTGGAGTGGAAAAAGCCTGAGCATTCACTCGTTTGGAAACATGAAAATGACCTTTCCCCTATTTTCTGAGCTGGAGAGCTCCATGAATAAAGAGAACCGAGAGGAAGTGATAATAAGAAGCAGAAGCATAAGGCCATCACTGAATGTCTCTGCAGACACCATGTCTACTTGTAGGAAGAATATCTGCCGACAGCTAATACCTAAAGGCATCCCAAGGCTCAAACCTATCGCTGTCCATTACAAACTGCATTCATTTTAGTATAAAACTCACCTCCCTCAGTTTTCAGGCAAGACCCCCAGAACGGCAACAATGCACATTGCTGCATTCAAAATGTAACCTCATCAACTGCTAGGCTGCTGCAGATGGAAAGTGTAGAGAAGCATGGGGTTAAAGCGACTCTTTATCAACTGCTGCTGAAACCGCACAAAGTGTAAAACACACTTCAAAATTAAACAAAGATCTGAATTGTTAAGTTTTGCAGCAGCAAAGAAAATGTATAGGGCCCATAATGTTGCATAATAGGTTGTCTAACAGGCAAACCTTTTTTTTGTTTGTTTTGGTTAGAGTAGGGAAGAGTTAAAACTTCTGTCAGCTTTTTCCCCACAGGGGAGATTTCCCCTAACTTCCTGTTTTGATGATTAGAGTCACTAAAACATCAAGTGATGGAATCTACTAAATGGGGATGCAGACAAATACAAACCTGGCAAAGGTTCCAGCCCTTTATTGTTATGTGTGTGCATGTTCACAACATATTGTGCGAGTCCCATCCCACTCCTGACCGTAAATATACTAAAGTGGTGGGTGCTGGAGTGACACAATGCAGTGTTTGCAGACAATAAAGATCATAAAAAGTCCCCGGAACTCCAATAGTGATCATGTAAACATGCGTCAATAAAAGACGTTCTTGCATCACCATTGGAGTGCCGGCGACTCTTCCGGATATTCATGTTGAGAAGATGACCCTTTACTTAATGGGAGTTGAGAAGGAGGCACACGAACCAGCCAGCATACAACACTCTCTAGCTGCAGCAGCCTTGGAATTGATCCTGAGGTTACACTTAAGCTCCCCAAACATGGTACAATCTGACCATACAATCTTTGTGCAATCTACCTTAGACTTACCAAAACTATTAAATATGAGGATCTACCTAAACTATCTAATCAACCTGGAAGGCTCTTGCACTACACAGTTGTTGGCAGCTCTAAAGGAGATGGTGCAGACAGATTGTATAGTGTGGGGTGAGTTTTTAGACTGACATGTTCTCACCCTTCCCTCATTACAGAAAGCTTAAAAACCCAAAACTTTTGGCTGAAATGACACTTTATATCTTCTGCTTACCTATGCGAGATAGGAATGGTCCATTTTCACTGGAAGCGGTGTCATTGAGCCTAAGGTAGCCCCTTCCCCTTTCTGTCCACACTTGGTTTTCTTTGGTAAACACAAAGAGCTTGCAGCTAATCTATGGGAAGAAAAAGGTCACATTGAGTTATAAAGTAGGCTCCAATTGATGATGATTATTCATATTAGGGATGCACAGATACTGATACTAGTATCGGTGCCGATATCGAGTATTTGGGGCGTGTACTCGTACTCGGCCAAATGCTCAGATACCTTCCCTGATACCAGAACTTTCAGTCAGAGGAACATTTCCTCCGACCGGCAGTGCCGTAGGGGAACATGGAGCCAGGTTCCCGTGCGATCAGTAAGCTGGGCTGCGAGTAATGACCCGCCTCCCTGATTGGCCAGGAAGACGGTTTCCCGGCCAACCGGCATCAAGCTAGCCGAACAGCTGGCTCCATGCTGATTGGCTGGGAAGCAGGTCATTACTCGCTGCCTGACTTCCTGATTGGCCGGGAAGCCGATATCCCGCCCAAATCACAATCAAGCCGGCCAAACATGGAGCCGGCTTCCCAGGCCATTACCTACAGCTCAGCTTCCCGATTGCCCAGGAAGCCGGCTCCATGCCAGCGGAAAGCACCGGTATCGGTACTCGGTATTGGCAAGTCCCGAAAACAAAATATCAGTACTCGATACCGAAAAATCGGTATCGGTGCATCCCTAATTTCTATATATAAAATACTAGGAGGTATTAGTATTATTAAAAGACAGGAGATTCTGGAGTTGGGACTTCAGCAGTGGTATATTTCAGTGCAGGAAGGTTGGTCTTTGGCACAGTGGAATGCAAATATGGGGTAATAATGCATGAGAGTTTAGTGATAGGATCACAGGGGTTGGTTAGGATTACAGGGAGGACTAGTGTAAAGGGTACAGAGGAGAGGTTGGTGGTAAGATTTTTTGTATGCAACTTTTGTAGGTGAAAGTGAATATAAAGATTGAAAACTGAGCACTTGCTGAGCGGCCTGAGCAATACACTCACCCACCTGTAGCACATTGCGCTCCGACTCTTCTCCTGTGACAACCTCCACTTGGTTCAGTTCATACTTCATTCTTGGCCTGGAGGTGTATGCTGCAGCTGATTCTTCAAGGCTCCTATGAAGTTTGTGCTCTAGGAAAAAAAAAAAGAATAAATGTAGCCCCAGACGTTGCCGTCATTGGTATTACATGTCCTAGTGAAGGCCGTCATTGCTTGGATATCAAAAGCACTGCCAATGCAGAGGCAGAGCAGTGAGAAGTTTTCTTTCCAAATAGCACCAGAAGGAAGGCAACCCCCAACCCCGGATGGTAACTCTTAGCTGTGACAGGTAACTACCATCATGACAGGTCCCCTTTAAAAAAAATAATTGTGGAATGCCGCAAACACCTTGCGACAGCTACTGCTCAGATTAAGTGGTATCGGATGTCTCTTCATCGGGCATTTCTGGCTTAAACTCTGCTATTGCCTCCTATGCTCAAAAGAACAGCGCGTTTTAAAGCTATAGAAAAAGTATTTCCCATTAATTCATTTCTGTTCTGTGAGCTCACAGACCTGTAACTTGTAGAATTACATATTATTGGCTTTAATGAGATAATGTCACCTTACCAATTCAGAGCAAAGGGATAGTGTCTTTGCAAATGCCCCATAATGCCAGCACTCCTTACAGATCAGCCTAAGGGCCTTTGTCGCTGTCTCTTGTGTTGATGGCATTAGTTTGATATTAGTTTGAGACAATTCTGAGATCATTCAGAACTTATTGACAGGTGCATTTGGCCTGTAGATGACCTCCTTCCGACTTGCATTTGGCCTGCTTTGAGGGAGTTTTGCATCCCCATAGACTTGTACAGGAATACAAAACCTACTTGAAGTGAACAAAAGCGTGTGGACACTGGCCCCAACAGTTCCTAAGGGCTGTACTGATGGCATAACTATAAAATAACAATACTTCTGGTGCCACATGGCTGGGCAACACAGTGGGCCTTGAGACAAAACAAGATAGTATAACCGTAGAGGCGAGAAGAGACTAAAAATAAAAAAAAACTTCCAACCGAATCAGTGTGTACATATTAAAGCCTTCTTCGAACATAAGGTATTCACGTCTCATTCTATAACACGTCCCAAAAAATAATAGTAGTCCCCATTTCAGGATAGTGGCCGAAACTACTTATTTTTGGGAGATATTGTGGAATGAGACATGCCAATACCTACTGTTCAACTGAATAGTGCGTAACACAGTAAAGCCTTCATAGAACAGTAGGTATTGGCAAGTCTCATTCCATCATACATCCCAAAAATAAGAAGTTTCGGCCACTGTCCTGAAAAAAGGAATAATGTTATTTTTTGGGACATATTATAGAATGAGACATGTTAATACTTTCTGTTCTAGGAAGGCTTTACTGTGCTACACACTATCCAGTTGGAGGACCTATTGATTGCTTGTCTAAGAGCTTGTCTAAGTTTGACTAGCATTCTGTGGCAAGAGATCAGTATACACAGAGAAAGCCGAAGAGGGCGATTGAAATTTGTCATCCGATTTGATTTTTCCAGTTGTTTCTGTAAGGCCTGGTTCACACCTGGGCATACGGAATATGCGTGTTTTTACCGCGATTTGCGGTAAATGAAACGCGCAACAAACAAGCGTTTCCGAGGGCTATTTGGCTATATCCTAATGGATAGGAACGCGCTGTAAAACGCCCAGGTGTGAACCCGGCCTAACTCTTCCCTTCAGCTCCTTAGAACATCTGTGCAAGCCATATCTCTAGTACAACAAATATACTCAAAAAGAGATACAAGATGTTCAATGGCCAAGTTCTTTGTTGCATTTCTCCACAGCCTGACACTTTTCTAAGGCCTTGTTCACACCAAGCGCGGAGCAGATCCAGACCAGAGCAGGTGCAGACCGGATCAAAACTGCGTCCAATGTATTCCTATGGTATTTTGACCTCCAGTTCACATCGCAGCGTGCGGATCCAGACCAAATCCAGAGCAGGTGAAAAAACTGCGGCAGGCCCTATTTTACCTGCTCTGGAATGCATCAGAAACGCATCTTAAACGCAAAAACGCATCAAAAACGCATGCAAGTGCCTGAAAGCCCATGTTAAACTTTAAAAAAAAACAAAACATTTTTTTTAACCAAAACCGGCCCTAAACGCATTAAAAATGCATCCAAAACGCGGCACAACCCACTGCACTGCGTGTGCAGAAACCTGACCGGATCCGGTCTGCATTTGGTGTGAACAAGGCCTAAGGCTGGCCATACACTGGTCAAATTTGTCCGTGTCCTGCTGAAACGTCCTATCAGAACCAACAATAGTGGATGTGGCAACAGAATGAGAAAAAACTAAGCGTATGGCCAGCTTTAGGCATCAGACAATTACTGGCGCCCTCAAGAATGATTCCCTTGCAGATATTTTCCTGAACGTTCCCATAAGCATGGCTAATAACAAAGTACTAATATATACAGAAAGCACATCTTACTCTGATAAGGCCAGTTTCTGTTATATGATAATCTAGTTGACGTGGATTCCCGCCTGCACGGCAGCACGCTAGTCTGAAATGGTGTCGGCCTCTTGGGACTCTGAAAATAGAATGGATAGGTTATCTTACACTTCGCTATTAATAAATGTATGCGCTTTGTAGATAGTTCCCAGTTTTTTTTTTAAATTTCTGTTGCATAATTTCAGTGCACAATCATTGCAAAAAAACAACTTCATGACAGTGCAAAATAAAAATCACAATGTTCTAAGTGCAGTGTTCCAAGGTGACCAATCAGATTTCATCTATTTCTTTTGAAAGCTAAAATTGACTCATGACTGCTGTAAATATCCAGTCCTTTGGGAGCTCATTTCTGCAAATGACTTGTCCCCACTCTCTCCCTCATATAGGGTTATAATGTTATCCTAACCCACCAGAAACTATGATCCTTGACTTGGGAGTCATATTACTTACAGTGCATAGCATCACCAACTCTCCTGACCAAACCCGGGACCCATAACACAACCCGAGAAGATCAATACTTTGTTTGCCTGAATCACTGCTCTTCTCTAATTCCAAACTTATGCAGCCTGGCAACTGAGCAGTGTGGGGCACTTATTAAAATGTATGAACTTGTGGCTGTCAAACCGATGAGGTCTGACTAGTAGCCTTTGCCGTTTTCTTTCTTTACTGTGTGGAAGAGACTAGCTGGTTCTTGTTTCTGTGGCATATAAAGGAGGACTACAAGCCCTTACTAACAGTATTAAGTGAGACCAATAAAATTAGCAGGCTGAGCTGTAAATGGCAGCTCTCCGTCTATGCAGACCTGCTGCACACAGAGACGTGTCCTTCTGAATGGTAAAAGGATTCCACGCACTTGGAGGAGGTGTCCTTCTACATACCGATCACTACATCTGTAAAAAATAAGTCTTAAACTGGACTTGGCAACTGGACTTGCTGTATTTTTCTTGAAGACGTTTCCCTGGTCATCCAACCAGCTTTCTCAATTCAGAATGACTTGTACAAACATTCTCTGGGAATACATTTTTGTACAAGTCATTCCGAATTGAAAAAGCTGGTTGGATGACCAGGGAAACGTCTTTAAGAACAATACAGCAAGTCCAGTTGCCTTAAGACTTATTTTTTACAGATATACCATGACCGGGATGAATGAGAACCTTCACAGACAAACTGATCACTACAGATTAATGTTTTTTGTTCTACTTCTAATTGCCTTTTGCCGTACAGGACTAAACATCCATTAAAAGATAAAACATTTTGAATATATGTATTTCAAATATGTTTTCATATTTTACCCTACAGATTTTCTTAAAATGACTGTAAATTGAGGAATTAAATCTTAAAAATGCATTCAAGTACCTTAACTATTAACAACATTTGTGTATCACTTGGCTGTAGATCCTCAAATTATCTCTGAATTGGTGCTGACACTGTCCTTCCTTCTGGAGGGGGGCTACTTTTGTTCCTCATGGTCCGTGTGTGTGTTTCGTAAAGTAGTCCCCGCTCCAAGCTCCCTCCTGTGATGGACTACAATCTCACGTTTAGTTTACTAATTTGTATTGGGATTGTAGTCCATCATGGGAGTGAGCTTGGAGCGGCTGCTACTTTACAACACACACAGGGACCATGGGGAACAAAAGTAGCCCCCCTCCAGAAGGAAGGACAGTGTCAGCTCCAATTCAGAGATGATTTGAGGATCTACAGCTGAGGGATACACAAATAAGATACATTTTTGTTCATAGTTAAGGTAATTGAATGCATTTTTAAGATTTAACTCCTGTGTTTAGGGTTACTTTAAAGTGAACCTTTAGCCAGACTGTAGATATTGATAGAGATATATATGTTTTAATAAGCATGAAATGAGCTTTAAAATAAGCCTTCACTGAGCTATGTAGCTGCTGGCACTGTGGAGCAATTCATCCTCCAAATTCACAAAACAGCAGTGCTGAAGACCTCAGCTCAGAGGAAGCACAGTTCACCCTGCTTCCCATTCCCAGAGTTCCTATACTGTGCTTACTTTTGAGATTAAAAGACTGAATGGCTGCTGTGTCATTGCAGGGAAAGGGGGTGGAGGAATACAAAACACAAAAATTCCCCAGCCTCAACCTGCCAGCCAGCCTGCAACCAAACAAGTAGCCCTGTCAACAGTATGCGTTAAAATCAGAGGTTTAGTTGCACAAACTTTTGGCCAAAAATATGTAGAAGCCACACGGCCGCGCCAAGGCACCTCTGCAAAGTGTGGTCCTAACTCTATGTATCCGAGTCTCCAAGTGTGAGCATATTAATGAAGTTGATAAATTACATGCAGGTGTACCTGGAGGTAGCCAACTCCTCCTAATAAAAGGTGCAGGGACGCACTGGAGGCCCAGCAACCAAAAATGCACGCTGGGACTCCAATGGTGCCTTGGCGCGGCAGTGTGGCTTCTACATATTTTTGGCCAAAAGTTTGTGCAACTAAACCTCTGATTTTAACGCATACTGTTGACAGGGCTACTTGTTTGGTTGCAGGCTGGCAGGTTGAGGCTGGGGAATTTTTGTGTTTTGTATTGTTGTAAGCCTTCCCATTGTGCGCCCTGCTATAAAGGTTGGTTATAGATTCATGCATGTACCATTTTTTCTAGTTCTAAAGGGGGTGGAGGAGCTGAGGAGAGGACAATGCTTCTGCTCTGGATGCTTTGTGAGGTGTTTGATGCTTCTGCTCTGGACTTTGAAGATGAATTGCTTCACAGTGCCTGCAGAAGTCGCCGAGGGCCGATTTAAAGCCAATTTACTGCAGTGTATGAATCTAGAATAAGGAACTACTTGTCTCGGATTTCCCAGGAAGCTACTTAAAAGTCCAAGACTCTCATGCCAGCTACTTACCACGACTCTGTTTTCCATGTTCTCACCAAAGACAAAATCTGCTGTATATTTATGTGGCATCTGATCAAAAGGCTGCATCCTACATATGGAACAAGAAGAAGATTGTCAGCAGTTAGTGGCACAAACACAAATACACAAACAATGGACATGCTTAAAATGTAAATGGCATTATTTGATAAATAAACACCCTGGCAGCACAGGTCCTCTTCTTTGCCAAATCATCACAGGTTATGCTAAAAGGGACATGTAAAGTTGGAAATATAGGACTTGTCATTACCGATTTGATTTAAATGTGTAGGTACCAGAGCAGTTATCTTCATCATCATGCCTTCACTACCTGGAAAGTCACATTCCTGGAAGAAGCATGCATCCAGTCTGAAAGGTCTTAACTTCCATCCCACATGTTTGTTCCAGGTCAGTGACAGTGAAAGCCAGGATCAGAATGAGCGCCCTGGAGTACCTTTAGAGGTCAGCAATGGCAGCTGTGTGCTAAATTTTTAGACTAGTAGATCCCCTGTAATTAAACTAAATAAAGATTTAACATTTATGTTGCTGATAGATATAAGTGAGCCCAGACTAAGAAAAGAGAATGCATTATGGCACACAGGGATTGGTTCTGCCAGAAAGCCTCTAAGATTTGACAGATCATTCTCTCTTCCCTGGTGTTATAAGTGACTAACAGACATCTCCCCATTGGTTATTTTTAGGGGTTACATCTGCTTTCCTATGGTCAGCTTAACACTGAGTAGAAGTGTGGACTCCAGACACCAGCAACTGTAAGATTGGGAGGTTCTTGGTGTTGGTTATGTTTTTAGATGAAGCACTGAGCACTTCAAGATGGTTGTATACAGGAATACAACATCAAACAGGAAACATATAGATCATAGACAAAAGCATGCATATAGAAAACCAGCATAGACCAGACGTGCACCACAGCGCCATCTAGTGCACAAAAGACAATATTACATCAGCATAAGCCGTTATATTTCCAACACTTGGCTCATTTCCTGTATCCGATAAAAGATTTGTCCTCAGCAGTATGTTTAAAGCCCAACTTTAGAGAACATGGTGGGGCAGCAGTTAGAATCTCTGTCTGAGATTATTGGTATTATAATTGGTGTCTTTACTGGGCAGATTCACGCTCACTTCCTATCCTGGTGGGTAGAAAGACAACAACAACAGCACATTTATTCAGTAAAAAAAAAAAAATATTTATTGGAGTTGGGCTATAAATGATCTCTCACTTTGAGCACCCTATGCAGGTAGGAAAAACAAACAAACAGCAGTACTAAAATAATGGTGACAGCATCAGAAATGTCACCAGCACACCAATGGATGATGCCTAAAATAAAGCGTTGTTTATTCACGCATATCGTCACATCAAAAATGCAACGTTTCGGGGCACGCAGGGTCCTCCATCAGGCTTACCATGACATCGTCATGGTAAGCCTGATGAAGGGGACCCAGCATGGCCCCTTACACAGCATTAGTTTAAGGCACAGTCAATAAACCTGGAACCCCCGGCTACTAGAACAGCTTTTATATTCTGTCGGCTCACCTCGTTTCCATCCCCAGGATGCAGGGGGATCCACGCGCAGACTTTGGCTGTCCTGCATTATTCACCAGAGCATTACTTTTTCCTTCCAGGATCTGCTGAAAACAAAAATAGAAGAAAAAATTAGATGAACAAATAGGAATACCGATAGTAACATGATGGAAAAAAACTTGTAAATAAGCCTCACGAGCCAGCTCAAAAGCTTCCAGGAGGCATGTACAAGCATTGCTCCATCAACGCATAGAAACAATTGAGCTGCATATGTGCTCTGTGATGACTATGTAGCGGCGGCAGACAGCGGCTGGGAATTAAGGGCTGAACTGGCCATCAGCCATATTGGAAAAGGGACGCTGCCAAAAGAGAGAAGCCTAGCTAAAGCCACATGAAATGTCCGTAGAGCCCTCATATCGGCCACTAGTAAGCCCTTTAGGATCCAAAATGCCTTCACCTAGACCTGGCACCTAGGGGCACTTCAATAGCGAAGGATTTATCTCCAACGTGAAGTCCTTTGCTCCAGGAGATATTGAACCTGGGCAGGGATAGCAGTAGGGAGCAGAAATAAAATATCCTTATAATATAAATAAAACCTGAAAAGAAAAAAAAACAGCATAGAAGGTGTCCTGGAGCAAGGACAAAAGGGAACATATCAGGCAGTCTTAGTCTCAGTTTTATGCGCTATGAAAGTGGGCCTATTGGGGTCAAGAGGGCGGAGCTGACCTGTAGTATGCGGACATGAGGATGTCAGGAAAAATAAAATATTGAATTATCTGCTACAAGATGGCTAGCATTGGCTGCTACTACTCTCGAATTCTTTCATCTGCAATTCTTAAAGATCATAACAAGAATGGGAGTTTTTCAGACGGTTCTCACCAATAGAATTCCCAAGCAATAATGAGAAAAAAAAGGGCTTGGTGGTTCTAACTCTGTAGTATCCACTAAACATGTAAATATCAGTTTTGGGTAGCCTGACCCTTTCATTTTTATTAACTTTCAGTAGAACAAGATTGGGGCTCTTCTTGGTAATTACAGGCAACATTTTTCCTCCTTTCTATCATGCTGCAAATTGCCAACACCCAATCTATAAGTGCAGAGATATAGAAGCTACCTTCTCTTCAGTCCTGGTTTGCGCACCATCAGCGTCCGGAGATACAGTTACTTGAGGAGCCTGCAGCGTTGCTGGTTTTATTACCGTCCACATATGCAAACTTTCTTCTGCAACAAAAAAGGTTTTATTTATAAATCAAGTGAAATGATTTCATAGATCTAAGAGTAGAAAACAAAAATAATGTGTAGCCTACATGCAAAAGGTGCCTGGGGTTTTGGATTTCTATAATGGCCCATCACAACAAGGTGTTCTTATTGCAAACATGGTTTGTGATGATCGGGTTGTTTCTGTCGAAAGTGAACGTAAATGGGAAATCTCCTGTGAACTTGGCACAGTTGAAAGGAAAGGATCAAAATAGCGCACATGCATGCAACTACTACAACAGGTCTTGGTGTTCTAACTCATCATTCAAGAGTGGGTATATCTCTTCCTGCCCTTTGATCTTGGTATGATCTGCCAGACTATAGGCAATGCCAAGCTACACAAGGTCTGGATGAAGAAAGCAATGGTGTACAGCACCAAACATCAATAAGAATTCCAGTTTCAGCAGCTCAATGCTACTGTTCTGTAGTGACGCCTATGTCAGCGGTTCATACCATGGAGGAAATTAAAATATCTGCATTGACAAGCCAGCCAAAACTCAGCTGCTGTTCATAGTGCAGGTCATGGCTGTGAAGGGCAACAGAAATACTATTTTTTTTTCACTTCGGTCCTTTTATTTTCAGATTTGTAGACCCAAATCATAAGACACAGGCTTGCGAACACTTGTTTCATTAGTTTAGCTATTCTTAGCAACAATTGTAGTATTTCTTAAATCTGCAATCTACAAAATAATTGCTAATCCTTTCAGTGATTGTTTCAAAATTTTAGCAATCTGTTGTGTTCACTATATAAAAGGCACAGGTGTTATCTTGGAGGAAATCCGATCTCTCAGCATTTGTAAAAAACAAAAATCACATTTTAGCTTTAGTAAATTTAACTGAATTTTATCTTGCACTATTTGATAAGTGTAATAGTGCACAGTGCCAGCTGAAATAGCCGAATGGAAGGAAAGGCCCAGGTGCTGCTACTTGCAGAGCTAGAACCATTTAGAATACTTTATTGAACCCTTTGGATAGTAAAAGCTGAAGAGCAAAGACTGTAGATGCGCCCATGCCATCTGGTGTGAGAGAAGGTAGGATCTCTCTCCACACCACCTTGTATACTACCAAATGACCAGGTTTCTTTACCTCTTTGTACACCCTTTGTTGGCGTATTTACCAAAAAAAAAAAGAGTTATATTCATGCCCTAGAGGAGATATCCATGACTGTGTGGTGGACCCCTCTTGCTGGCCTGGGTCCCGTCCCCCTGGTTTTAACAGGCACCTTGGCTCTTATTCGGCACATACATTGTATCAAATACTCCTGAGGAATCGGAGTAATTTCTGTGAAATGCATAGAATGTATTTCATCCAAATATATCCGGTTTATCTATAAAGTGTGATGCCCACTCAAAGAATGGGTTGATGTTGATTACAATATGTTCTAGGGTGACATGAATACGTGTATTGGAGCCACAACCATCATTTCATGTTATTACATGTTTTTTATTTGAGTATTTGAATGTTGTATACATAAAATAAAGGAGTTATTTTTACATAAAAATACAATGGGGGGAATTTATCAAAACTGAAGCAGACAAAATCTGGAGCAGATTTGCACTGCAATTGCTCCAGATTTTGTCTACTACAGTTTTGATAAATTCCACTCATTATGTTTCAGTTTGGGTACCTTAAAAGTACATTATTTGTATGAATGAATTGTAGATTGCATGTTATATGAGCAAATGGTCTCAAATAACAGGATCACTAAGGGAACACTTACCTACTGCCATGGTGTCGCTCCATCACAGTCCTTTCCATTGTTTCAACCAATGAGGGGACGACATCATAGGTAAGTGATCTCTTTATTGAACTTTTTGGTTGCAAATTGCTGCCAGAAAACAATATCACTATTGTAGCATGTCTGGGTACCCACAGATACATGAAGGTGGTCAGATGTGCAGGTCGACTGTTCTCCAGTACATCATACAGCAGATCACTCCATAAATAAATGTTTGGCTGGGATAAGCATGGCTTATGTTAGGGTCACAAGCAGTTGCTTATCTCAGGGTGGGGAAACAAGCTCTGGACTGTTTTTTTCTCTTTCTTTTAACATATTCTACAATGTTCCTGTATAGTTAGCTGGAGGTCATCTACCTTATCTCCCTTTTATATGACTGTCATGCAACCTGCCCAACCTTAATGTCATAGCTGTAATCAGGCAAAACAAAACCAGGACAGGGTCACTGGGGGGGATATATCACACTCACCTGAGTCTCTATTGTTCCTCTGTGTTCTCTCTTGCAGGAGAGTGGAAGGCATGAACACATTGTTTGTCAGTGCTGTAAGAAAATATATGAGGAAAGTTACTACAAACATTTTTTTTCCTAAAAAAAGCAACAACTGTACTATGTTTCATAAAAGAAAACCTTAAATACAGTATACAAAATCAGGAATTTGATTTTTAGGTTGTTTGCCCCATGTGATGTATATAGGGTTACCACCTTTTCTTCAAGCGAAACCCGAACACTCTATCGACATGCAGACTTTTTTGGGGAGAAGTGGGTTTCTGCTGCCATGAAACCCGGACACAGCATTCAAAACCCGGACTGTTTGGGTGAATCCTGGACAGGTGGCAACCCTAGATGTATACAACAGGCCTACCACTTTGCAGGTGCAAAATAAGTTTTGGGTTTTCACATGCTTTTAGGCTATGTTGATGAGGTAGAGAAATGTAAAGCAAGGACCAGAGGTGGAGTCTGGTTGGTTGCAATAAGCAACATAGTTTGTTTTATAATGTTTAGTTTTTATCTGCCTTTACCGGCTCACAGACAGCAGTATGGCCATGGTGCCCACAACTGCAAGTGGGTCCAATGCCTACGTTACACTAATGAGTAGTCTTCCTTATAGGCAATAATTAGGGGTTTGGTGAACATCCACTTAACAGAAAATATTCCCTTCAGTTGAGGATCCTTCGCGGAATTGTTAATTATGAAACCAGCATTTTCCTTTTCTACACTGGCCCAGGAGTTCCCTCAAGCACCAGTAATGATCACTGGTTGGATCCAGCATTTCATGGTTGCAAATGATTTTCAAAAAGACCAAAATATTAACCACCAAATCTCACATATACTGTCAGCTTAGGCCGCCCACCACTAAAGTGCCTTCAGCTCTCAGCCAGACGTACAACAAAAGGTGAATATTAGATTAAAGAAATTGTTCTTTGGTACCGGTCTGAACCATTTTTGTTTGCTTTCATTGTTTGCAAATGAAGAAAGAAAGTTGTAATTATCTGACATCTGTCCATCCCACTGGCAATGTGAAAAGATAGGAAGTGGTGAACAGTGACAGGTTAATAGAATTGTGTGTCTATATTTCCCCTGGGCCCTTTTTTGATTCAGGTAATAAAAACGCTCTGTGCTACCTGGCTGTTTTGGAGGGAAGGTGGTCAGAAGGCTGAAGGAAGAGGAGCGGACTCTTTTCTCTTTGTGACCTGCAAAACAGTGTAAAACACACATTAGAAAGGCAGCGCAATGCAAAAAACATATGGAGTGTTCAGTGCATATTCCACTTTCTGCAAAAAAATTTTTTTTTAAATGTACCCCTATCGCAGAAAGAGAAAATGAGCATTATTTTTTTGCAACAAAGCCTGCAAAGCATTGCAAGCACGATCAGTGGTTAGTGGGTGCAATGGTCTGGTTCCTGCAGCATCTTCCTCTGGCCCCTGGTCTGTATTGAGGTACAGACCCATGCTGTTAAAGATGTCACTGGAACAGAAGGCAAGGAGGAATCTTCTAAACGAGGACAACCAGAGCCATCCCTATGTAGGCCCAGCACTGCCAGCACACACACCGCCCTCCCCCTCCCTTCGGCAGCGAGAAATGTAGGGATGCCCCTGAGGACAACTGTTCCGGAGCTAATCAAGAGGACATTTCCCAACACTTCCTATTGTGTTTCTGGTGCAGGAAGTGAAGGGAAATCTCCCCAATGAAACAGAAAACAGCAAAGTAAAAAATATATACAAATTATGGATTCATTATTGAAGAAAAAAAAAAAGTTTGAGTTTAATGCCACTTTAACATATTTAAAAAAAAAAAAGAAAATCTCCTACCAGCTTCACTGGATGGCCTGAAAGTAAATGAAGATGACCTCAGTCTCTTTTCCTCATACACACAGAGGCCTGCAAAAAAAGAAAAATACATCAACATCAATAATACAGTAACATTTGTGAAATTTTGCCAAGACAAAAGTTGTGAAAAGAGGTCTCCATATTAGGGCATCACTAAAGGCCACACTGGAAACATTCACCCCTCATACAAAATCCTTCTGCAAACCAGTCAGGCCTTTATTTGGCACACATTACAGTATTGGTTTATGTTAAAAAATCTGAGGGTTTAATGTCACTTTAAGTTTCCTGAATACATTTGTAAGATTTAACTCCTGAGTTTAGCATTACTTTGATGTAAACATGCTCTATGCATAGGGGGCAAAATGATAGGTTTGCTTTTTAGAAGCTGGCCCTATGTACTTTCCATGCCCTCCCCAGATCCACTCCTACAGCCAAGAGAAATCCCAGGTACTTCCAGGTATTGACAAGACAAGACAAGACATTACCCCTGCCTCGCCTCTGATACAGCGCTTGATGCCAGAGTAGCCAATCACCAGGTCTGAAAGCTGTCAGATGGGAGCCTGCATAGAGGATCTGAGACTTTGATGCACTTTATCAGTGAAAAGGGGCAACCGGGGAGTCCGAAGACGTGTAGGCCACTGACCATGCAATATGTGCAAAGTTCGAGATTCCTTTTAATTACAGTGAACACACTTTTTAAGCATATTTGCAGTTTTAAGCTAAACAGACGCTCATACAGCAGAAAAAAAGGACCAGAAAAAGGGATGTGAAGGAAAGTCAATGGCGCCCTGTTCTGCACAGAATTAAATAGGAACACACTGCCAGTAAACAGGGATATGCTGGGGGAGGGGTAATAGCTATTCTGGGGATCCAGGAACTTTAATAACTAGCCCTCTCTGGCAGAAGATAGAAAATCTGGAGAAAAGAAAAAAAGCTGGTCATGCTCAATGCATAGGGGGCCAGCTTTTGTCTGTAGACTTGAATAAGCCTGCGTGCATAAATCTTGAAAAGTGAGTTTTTATAAGCACAACTGTCTTTATAACTGAAATTCAGGTCACACAGCCTGAAGCCGTTTCCAGCTGGAACAGAATAAGATAAAAGTAGAAGAAAGTCTTTCAGAATCGCCGGCGTTCAACAGATACGTATGTTGAGTTATCTGTAGAGGATTTCCATTGCTGAACTCGGCTGTTGACATACAAACTAATTTACAAAAACAGTTGTGAAGTGTCACTCATAGCAGCCAATCTGATTGAATCAGTTGAAGGACAGAAAGTGAAATACAAACATCTGATTGGTTAGGATAAGGATATTCATCTCTTGCTGTTGGGTTCGAGATGTATGAAAGCCCCACCAATATGGATGCAACTGGACCATGGCATATCCGCCAACATGGCTATGGCTACTACCACGCAATAAAATACCCAAATCAATTGTCCTGACTGCTCTAAAAGGCAAACATCTGATTGGTTGGATAGAGTTTTAAAAATGTCAACACCACAATTTCTCTTTGTATTGCCAGTCAGTTTCCTCATACGCTAGCTACGGAACGTATACTATTTTTCTGTCTGTAGGTTATATTTTCTTCTAGTAACATCTCATTTAAAATGGATTTTATAATACACATTAGATCTGTCACTTTTGGCTGACTGATTGATTTTTATCCAATGAAGCCAGTGTTAATAGCGAACACGATACAAACCTGAATCCAGTGTACCCATCGCACTCCACCTTAGAGTCGGGTGGGTGCCAAAGTGACTGCAGTTGCCTCTGCAATCCAAGATAAGTGTATGCATAAAGTCACTCGTACTCCAATAGAATTTCAAGTCAAAAACGGTTAATTGACTCGATTGCTATCACATCATATAGCGACGTTTCAGAACAACAGCGGTTCCTTCTTCAGGCAAACAGAATGTTCTTGACTTGAAATTCTATTGGAGTGCGAGTGACTTTATACATATACTTATCACGATACAAACCTGGACACTTCAAAAATGGAGAATATGTAGAACAGACATAAGTACAGCTTACCATTAGAGATGAGGCTGGGTTTGGAGTAAGCCCAGTTCTCCCAAGCCTGCTCAAAACCATCACTGCCACCCCCTCCTCCCTAACCAATAAGAGGTGCTAGTTGTTCCTTTGTGACATATAGTTGCGGCGGTTCTCACCAAGCTCAGCCCCATCACTACTTACCAGCCCTGGAAAGTACGTCATAATGACTGGTAAAAATGGAGTTGAGGACATAATTGGCCTTTCCCCGATTAGTCAGCAATGCCAATTTAATGGACCTATACGCAGTGGCGTCACAAGGGGGTGCGGCCCGCACCCGGCTGTCATTTTGGTGTCACCCCCTCTGAAAAGTCAGGCACTCTGTCATGGACCGAGAGCCTGACAGTTTCGGGAGAGAAGAGGGCACCCGGCTGCATACCTTATCCCGCCGGGTGACTGTCCCTTCCTCTCTCTGCCGGCGTCCATCACCAAGATGGCCGTACATGCGCGTGGTGACGTCATGTACATGCACGATGACGTAATGGCGGGGTGTCACACGGTATCCGCTCCCGGTGACACCCAGCCTTGGGATGCTCCTGTCAATATGGAAGCCAAAAAAGCCTTTTGGCTTCCATATTGGTCCATTAAATTGGCCTTGCTGACCAATAAGGGAATATAAGGATTCAGACGGGTCATGCCTCACACCTAGAAGCAAAGTGGAGACTTGAAGTCTAGCGCTAGATGTACAGATTAACTTAAAGAAGAACTCTGGTTTGTTTGTTTTTTTCAAATTAACCCTTGCAGTTGGCTAGCCCTGCACTGCAAGTTTTAAGTGCTTGTTTTGGTGCATAAGAAAAGAAGATACGCTCACCTGATCCTCGGTCCTGCTGCAATGACAGCTCACCTATCCCTCCCTCTGCTCTTGCAGTGGTATGTCCCTTGGCATCCTCACATCTAATGGACCTGCATTAGACATGATGATGCCACGGGTCCTTAGACCACCCGAGTAGGGGAGAAGAGGCTGCTGTGACTGGTCCATCATCCACTCTAGAAGATATGTTGTCCGCACACCATTCTGCTTTTGAATATTATCTTTATTTGTATTCCTTTAGCATGACATGTGAACAACGTTTTGGAGCCTCACAGAACCCCCTTCATCAGGCAAAGTGTCCCAAAGGGTCTATCATCCAGGCGGGACCGAGGATCGGGTGAGTATATCTTTATTTTCGTTCCTAGACCAAAACCAGCAGGTAATCCTTGCAGAGTGGGGGGGAGCTCCTCTGCAAGGGTTCATTTGAAAAAAATCCTGGCCTTCTTTGTGGTTTTTTACCAAAGGTACTTCGCCTTTCTTTCATCAGATGCTCAATTTAAATTGGACCGGTCACAAACCTGGGCAAGTCAAAGTCCAATTAAGCTTTCAGTTTCATTCAGCTAAACACATCCCAGGTACATCAAACCAAAAGTGATGCAAAATCTTACCGCTTGTTCTTTAAAAAGCAGCCCCAGCCTCAGTAGAAAAGCTGCTCTCAAGCCAGCATGGACCCTTGCTTTCTGTGTTTGGAAGCAGTGGTCTCTCTGCAGCAAGTTGGAAGTTGCAAGTTTCTATTCAAGATGTGACTACTTTCTAAAGGAAAAGAAACTATAAAACACTGAATACGTTTTCTTTTCATGCACCTGGAATTTAATACATTCCAGGATTTAGGGATACCTTGAACTGTGAGTTCAGTTGGGCTTTAGGAACAGCGACTTTCTGTATTTGAATTTAGAAAACGGTCATTATAGGAATGTGCATTAAATTCATCAAATGTGACTTACCATGTTCAGTCTTCAGTACTATATCTCCAGCGTGTCTCTGCAAGTAAAGACAAACATATGCAGAGTGAGAACTTTCTATCATCTGATGGATATCTATGCTGACTCAGATATATTGGCATTTGAATAATACGTGGGAATACAGTGATAAGCAGGTTTGTGTGCACGTTATAGAAAACCCTGCAGCTATCCAGCTTCTATACGAGATCTCCAACCAAAACCTTATCTCTAGGCTGAAGGGCATTGGGAGAGGTGAAGCCCAACTGAACTCTCAAATTAAAAAAAATCAGCTAAATACATTCTGGGTGCAATTCAGAGCATTGAAGAATCTGCACATCGGGGGACCCAATAACGGCAAGAACAATTCAGAGCAAAAACAAAAAGGAGTTCAAAGTTTTGCAATTTGTTTTCTTTAAAATGCAGCCCCTTGGTCTGAAAGCATGCTGCAGAGTGGGACCCCTGCTCTCTGTGGGAAAGGAAGCAGTCATCTCTCTGCAGAGGTCAGACACGCATCCACCTTGAGTTAGTTAGACTCAGAGCTCTACAATCAGCAAGCTTTGCTGATTGCAGGACTATAGCTCTAACTTAGTAGGTGACATGTCAGATCTCAGCAGACAAACCACTGCTTCCAAGAGAGAGAGCGCAAGGGTCCCATTGTGCAGCTGCTGGCAGTTTTTCTACTCAGGCTGTGGCTGCTTTAGAAAACAAACAAACCATAAGACACCTTTTGTTTTGCGGCACCTGGAACGTATTTAACCGATTTACACTGGGAGTTCATTTGGGCTCTAATTATTATATGAAAGAACGGTTCTCAATATTGTGAACAGTTATAGTAGCATTACCACGCCAGCATTGTTTACTTGTATTCTCTCCCTGTCAAAGCAGATGTAAGGGCATCCTATCATCTACTTATTTTCAGAGCTGATAGACAGACACTACTAGAACAGGGGTGGACAAATTAAAGCAGAACTCTGGGTAGAAATATTCTTAACTCTTGCAGTGGGGCTACCCCAGCACTGCAAGGGTTAAGTGCTCATTTTGGTCTAGGTCACATGTGTCAAACTCAAGGCCCAGGGGCCAAATCCAGCCCACCAGGCCATTTCCTAGACTTCTACTTTCAGATCTAGGTATTACGTTATTACTAAAACCAGTGATAAACAAATGCAGAGGCAATTATGATAAAGATTAGATACATTCAGATAGTCTTACAGATACCTTTGAG